AGGAATCAACCTAACAAAAGAAATCAAAGACCTCTTCTCTGAAAGCTATAGCACTCTGAAAACAGAGATTGAAGATGATATCAGAAAATGGAAAGGCATCCCCTCTGCTCCTGGGAAGGATCAACATAGTGAAAATGGCCATACTTTCAAAACTGCTATACAGACTCAATGCAATCCCAACTGAAATTCCAGCAGCATATTTCATGGACCTTGCGAAAACAATCCAAAAATTCATTTGGAACAAGAAGAGACCTAGAATAGCAAAAGCAATTCTAGGCAGTAAAGACAAGGCAATAAAGACACAATCCCCAACTTGAAACTTTACTACAAAGCTACTGTGATAAAAACAGCATGGTACTGGCAAATGAACAGACCTGAGGACCAGTGGAACAGATTAGAAGATGCAAGAATAACTCCAGACATACTCACCTACCTCGTCTTTGACAAAGGAGCCAAACATCCTCACTGGAGGAAAGACAGCCCCTTTAATAAATGGTGCTGGAAAAATTGGGTTTCAACTTGCCAAAGATTAAAACTAGACCTATATCTCTCACCATCCACTAAACTAAACTCAAAATAGATTGAAGTTCTAAATATTAAAACAGAAACACTGAACCACCTGGAACAGAGGTTAGGTAGAACTCTTGAAGACATTGGAGTAGGAAAAGATTTTATGAACAAAACCTCAGTTGCCCGTGAACTAGCACAAACAATCAACAAATGGGACCTCTTCTTATTTAAAAGCTTCTGCACAGCAAGATAAACCACTAGCCATGTGAAGAGACAACCCACAATGTGGGGAAAAAGTTTTCACCTGGTGTTCCTCAGACAAAAAAAAAATCAGACATCCCAAATTTAAAGACCCAATCCAAAAATGGGCATCTGAAATGAACAGACACTTCTCAGACAAAGAAGTAGAAATAGAAAATAAAGCATATGAAAAAATGTTCAACATCACTGGTCATTCAAGAGACGCAGATGAAAACAACACTGAGATTCCACCTCACCCCAGAAAGAATGGCTACTATCATGAAATCAACCAATAACAAATGCTGGCAGGGTTGTGGGGAAAGAGGAACCCTACTCCACTGTTGGTGGGAGTGTAGACTGGTGCAACCACTGTGGAAATCAGTATGGAGATACCTCAAAGAACTAGGACT